GGTTGTCTGTAAACCTCATTACGTGTCCAGCCCATCTGATTTTTGATGTCTTGGCAAATGAGACAGCGTCCCTGATTTTTGAGCGTTGACGAAGATCAGAACTCCGGATTCTATCTCTCATTTGAGTGAATCGTGATATTCCAAGCATAGTTCTTTCGATTCCTCTTTGAGAGACCCGAATAGTGTTCTCATCCTGTTTTCGTAGGGTCCAGGTCTCTGAGGCATATGTTAATGCAGGAAGAATAGTGGAATCAAAGAGATGTGCTCGTAGCTGGAGGTTCTTTGTCCTTTTAGTTATTTCTTCAATGCTCTTGAAGGCATTCCAAGCCGCTCTCTTCCTCCTGCGCAACTCAGGTGCCAGGTCATTCATCATGTTGATTTCTCGACCTAGGTATATATAACTGTTGCATTCGGAGATGGTGGTTCCGTTGAGAGCGAATGGAGCGTCAGGAACAAGGCTGTTTCTCATAAACATTGTCTTCGTAAGATTCAGCTGTAGTCCGACCTTTTCACATTCACGGTCAAAGTCGTTCAGCATTTGTGCCGCTTGGCTGATGTTTGGTGTTATTTGAACGATGTCATCAGCAAAGCGGAGGTGGTGTAGTTGCCGACCATCTATCTTCACTCCCATGTTTTCCCATTCCAGTCGTCGCATGATGTTCTCGAGGGTGGCACTGAAGAGTTTTGGTGAAATGGTATCACCCTGCCGAACCCCTCTCTTGATATGGATGATTACTTCTTTGTAGAATGGTGAGATCTTGGTAGTGAATCCGCAATAGAGCTCACGAAGGATCCTGATGTATTGAGTTTGTACGCCCTGATTGGCTAGGGCTTCCATGACCGCTTCCGTCTCAACAGAATCAAAGGCCTTCTTTAAATCAATGAACGTTAGACAGAGCGGCATCTTGAACTCCTGAGATACCTCAATGAGCTTGGTTATTGTGTGGATATGGTCAATGGTACTGAATCCTTTTCGGAATCCAGCTTGTTCACATGGTTGTCCTTCATCTAGTGTTCTGCTAATCCTATTCAGGATGACTCGAGTGAATAGTTTGTAGATGACAGACAATAGGCAGATTGGGCGATAGTTGCCAATGTCGTGGATGTCTCCTTTCTTGTATAGTAGTACAGTCTTGCTGGTTTTCCATTGGGAAAGTTTAAATATGAAGTTTAAATACCATTATTAAAGGATAATCCATTTGAATTCTATCTGAAAAGACCTGGAAAACTGATTTAGATCATGACTAAAAGTTTTGATGCTTTCAATATGAAACTATTAAAGGAAGAAGTGTTCTTCAAGAAATGGTAGAATCATGCAAAATTATAAGAGGAGGCACAATTAAGACATCCAAGCTACAGATTATAGGGATTCCAAAGAGAAGGAATGAATGACATAGAAATAATAATCAATGAACAAATAATAGTCAATGACTCTATATCATAGTGATTCAATAAAAAAATTTTTAAAAGAAATAATAAATAAATGTAAGTAAGTTTACATGTCAAAAGTTCTGGTTTATAGCTAAGAAGAGCTATGTGCTCCACTTTGAGAAACACCTGGACTAATTTTAACCAAACAGGAAACAGAGAAATTATGACATTTTCAATATCTTCAAGTTATACTTTCAATTCTATACTAAATTAATGTCTTTCTTTTTAATTTTTATAGATTAACTTACATGTTCACAATTGTATTATTTATGGTATTGATGTATATATTGTTCTCCCACTTTATCATCCAGTGCCAATGTCCTTCTGTTACTTTCACCAATGTCCCTTTTTTAAATTGAATCACAGTGAGATACAATTACAAAGTTGTTCGTGATAGGGTTTCAGTCTTATAATGTTCCAACACTTGTCCCTTCACTGGTGTACATTTTCTATTACCTATGTCCCTAGTTTCCCTCCTGCACCCCTGCCACCATCTCTATGACAGGTACTCTCTCTCTCTCTCTCTCTCTCTCTCTCTCTCTCTCTCTCTCTCTCTCTCTCCATTTCTTTCTTTTTGGACATTATGATTTGCAATATTACCCAGGTGATCAGGTATATCTCTTTACCTACTTCTAACACTCAGTTCCTGTCCAGAGTGGTCATTTCCAGGTATTATTGTCATACTGGTGTGTTCTCTATCCTAACTGCCCTCTGTCCACACACTTGTGCTACCTTTTAACCATTGACTCCTCCAGGACCCTGTTTTTTTTCTGGCCTTGGATACTAGTCTCATACTTTTTTTTTATATTCTACAAATGAATGCAGTCATTCAATATCTGTCCCTCTCCTTCTGACTCATTTCACTCATCATGCTACTCTTTGTGCGCATCCATTTATAAGCAAATTTCATGACTTCATTTTTCCTAACGGCTCCATAGTATTCAACTGTGTAGACGTACCATAGTTTCTTTAACCAGTTGTCTCCTCTCAGACACTAGGGTTTTTCCAGATTCTGGCTATTGTAAATAGTGCTGCAATGAACATAAAATGGTGATGGCATTTATGCTGTGTTTTGGGGTCCCCAATGCTAAGTCCTAGAAGTGGTACTGCTGGATCAATTGAAGCATAATTTCTAGTTTTTGAGGAATGTGTATATTGTTTTCTAAAAAGCTGGACCAGTTGGTATTCCCACCAACAATGAATGAGAGTCCCTTTCTCCCCACATCTGCACCAGCACTGGTTGTTCTTGTTTTTTTGATGTGTGCCAGTCTCTGTGGTATGCGATCATTGTTATTTTGATTTTTATCACCCTGATGTTTCATTTTTATGTTACTTCCATTCAACCCCATCATTCCCCACATGCCCTCTTCTTTCTTTTCTTCTTAGTTTTTTTTTTTAGTTTAGGTAGTTCCTTTAATCCAAGTTAAGATTTTTATTGTCATAGTCATTGAATTTTATAAAATTTGCTTTTGTTTAGTGACTAACTTTTTCTATTTTTTTGTTTAATTGCCATGAGATATAGTTATAAAGCTTTCATGATTGAGTTTCAGTCGTACAATGATCAAATATCCATTTCTCCACTGATGTATATTTTCCACCACTAATGTCCCCAGTATCCCTCCCACCAACCCCCAGTTCCAGCCCCTTTCTCTTTCTCTCTCTCTCTCTCTCTCTCTCTCTCTCTCTCTCTCTCTCTCTCTTTCTCTCTCCCATTTCTTTCTTTTTGGGCATTATGATTTGCAATAATTCCCAGGTGATCAGGTATACTATATTATGGCTGTGGCAGACAATTTCCTTTTTACTTTCTCTCTCTCTACTTTGGGGCATTATGGTTTGCAATACAGATACGGAGAGGCCATCATATTTGACCCTTTATTTACTTTCAGCACATGTGTCCCACTCCAAGCGATTCCTCCAACCACTACTAACTCAGTGATCCCTTCTTTATCCCAGTTGCCTTCTCCCCCACTTTCCAACTGTGGAACAATCTTCTGGCCCTTGTCTCTACTGTCCTTGAGTGTCAATCTCATTCATGTTATGCTATTTTGTATTCTACAAATGAGTGCACTTATTCTATGTCTGTTCCTCTCTGACTCATTTCACTTAGCATTGTACTCTCCGTGCCCATACATTTTTAAGCAAATTTCATGACTTCATCTTTCCTAACAGCTGCACAGTATTCCATTGTATAGATGTACCATAGTTTCTTTAACCAGTTGTTTGTTCTTGGGCACTCATACCCATACTCTTTTGAGGGAGCTGTTTACCTGTAGAATTGTTTTCCAGCCTTTGACTTTGAGTCTGTATTTTCTCTGACTATTAAGACGTGCTTCTTGCAGGCAGCAGAATGTTGGGTTCAATTTTCTGATCCATGCTGCCACTATGTCTTTTAATTGGTGCGTATAGCCCATTGACATTGAGAAAGGTTATTGTTATGGGATTTTGTCCCATTTTTCTGCTCAAGTTTTGTGTATCTGAGGGACTTGTCTTAAAGTAACTGGTTTAGTTCTTGTAACTGTGGTTTTGAGTCTATGAAGTTTCTGAGTTGTTTGTCTCTGAAACAGTGTGTTGTTGCTTCTGATATGAATGAGAATCTAGCTGGGTAAAGTATTCTTAGTGAGGCATTTATTTTATTGAGTATTTCCACTGTCTTTAGGCCCTTAGGTTTTCATCAGATAAGTCTGCTGTATATCTTAAAGATACTCCTTTATAAGCACTTTCTTTCTTTGATCTTGCTGTTCTCAGAAGTTTATCTGTTATGATTTTCAATCATTCTGATAAGGATGTGTCTTGGAGTGTTTCATTTCACCTACAATGTTTCTCAGATCTGTCATTTCTGCTTGTAATTTTGTTTGTATTTTCCTAATTTCTGCTCTCAAATTCTCCTGTATTTTTTTTTTTGGCAATGCATTCCATTGTTTCTTTTAGCTCCCTATGCATCCTTGATAGATTCCTTCTAAATTCCTTGTCAGAGAAGTTATAAAACTTGTTATTTCTGGTTGTGTCATCTAGGCTATTTTCTTCACTCACTACACCTGGTGGGTTTCTGTGTTGCTTCACCATTGTGACCTGTGCAGCTTGAACTTTCATGCTGACTGTTACTATTGTGTTTTTGGTGTAATATTAATTGAAGTAGGGGCTAATGAGTTGTTAACCTAATAAGTTTTGGTGATCAGGATGCCAGAGTGAAAGTTCCAGATAGGAGGCTAATTTATGTTTTTTATGGGACATGGAGGGGAGGATTAACTCTAACATCGCCGCGGCTCCAAACACCACACCAATGGGGCCTCTGACCTAGATTAGGAGAAATTGGATCCTTGCAGCTAAGTCCTACCCGAGTGGTGCCCTACCTGGATTGTTGTCCCTTTTCCCTGCCCGCCTCTTTTTTCATATTCTCAGTTCTGTAATCCTTTGTCAGAGGCTTGCTTTCATTTGATGGTACATTTTAAAATTAGTTTCTCTATATATCATAGGTGAGTAAGATCAGTTGGTATTTTTTCTCCCTTTGGCTTATTTGCCTTGACATGATATCCTCCAGTTCTATCCAAATTGCAGCAAAGTGCATGATATCAAAATGTGAATGCTGCACAAGTTTGTGTGTCATCCTTGCACAGAGACAATGCTTATCTTTTCTGTGTCATTTTAGTTTTATTTGTACTATGGTAGAAAGATCAAATTAAATAAACTAAATTATGAAATATACTAAATTAATACTGTATTTTATTTTTTGCTTTTTGGGTCACACCTGGCATTGCACAGGGGTTACTCCTGGCTCATGCACTCAAGAATTACTCCTGGCCGTGCTTAGGGGACCATATGGGATTCTGGTAATCGAACCTGGGTTGGCCGCATACAAGGCAAATGACCTACCTGCTGTGCTATTACTCCTTCCCCTAATACTGTATTTTAAAAGCAAAAACTTCCAACATTAGGAAAATTTATACATAGTCATGAGTCCTTAGAAGGACCTACAATAAAATGGTAATTATGATTATATCTGGACAATAGATAATTTTCATTATCTATTTGCATGTTCTTTTCCCTACTTTCTTTCCTATTTTTCATTATGAATTTATTTCTCATACAAGGTAATTGAAGTCATCTATAAACCATTTATCTCAATCTAAATATAGGAAAATTCCTATCTAAGTTTGAACCTCAGCACCACATGGCCCCCAAGCATCACTGGTTATAGCCCTGGATATTCCTAAGCAATGCAAGTGGCTCTGGTGATCCCTAGCATTGAGCACTACAGGGTCCAGAAAGCATAATATTCTGTTTGTTGGCTGAGAATTGCCATGCATTCATCTTCCTCCCATACCACTGAACATTGGTCAGGAGTTTTTCCTTGAAACATAATCCACCACTTATCAATTCTGTAAGAATTGATAAATTATCACATGTAGTTAACAGTTCAGCACTGTTCCTGATGTACCTCAACTTCACTCTTTCTCTTTCCAAGTAGAAACTTTTTCTTGTGTCATGGTTCAATGCCTCTATGATAGTAATTTTTCTTTTCTTTCTCTGTCTCTGTCTCTCTCCCCCCTCCCCTTTTGGACATTGCGTTTTACAGTACAGATAGTGAAAACTTATCATGTATATCCCTTTGCCTACTTTTAACACTCAGTTCTTGTCCAGTGTGATCATTTCCAGCTATTGTTGTCATCTTGATCCCTTCTATAGCTTACCTACTCTCTTCCCCTCACACATTTGTGATTGATTCCACACACTGACCAGTCTTCCTAGACCCTGTTTTCCCTGACCATGGATAAATCTTCTACTATATATATTTTTATATGCCACAAATGAGTGCAGTAATTCTATATCTGTCCCTTTTTTCTGACTTATTTTACTCAGCATGACACTCTTTACTTTTAGGCAAATATCATCACCTCATTTTCCTAACAGATGAGCTGTATTCTACTGTGTGGATATGTCATAGTTTCTTTAACCATTCATCTGTTCTAGGGCACTAAGATTGTTTCCAGATTCTGGCTATTGTGAATTGTGCTGCATTGAACACAGGAGTGCATATGATGTTTCTGCTGTGTGCTTTTGGGTTCCCAGATTATATTCCCAGAAGTGGTATTGCTGGTTGAAATGGGAGCTCAATTTATAGTTTTTTGAGGAATGTCCATATTGTTTTCCAAAAAAGGCTGGACCAGTCAGCATTCCCACCAACAATGAAGGAGAGTCACTTTATCCACATCCATGCCAACACTGGTTGTTTTTATTCTTTTGGATGTGTGCCAGTCTCTGTGGTGTGAGATGATATACATTGTCATTTTGATTTGCATTTCCCTGATGATTAGCAATGAAGTACATTTTTTTCATGCGCCTTTTGGCCATACAAATCTTCTTTAAGAAAGTTTCTGTTAATTTCATCGCCCCATTTTTTGATGAAGTTGGATGCTTTTTTTCTTGTAAAGTTCAACCAGTGCCTTGTATATGTTTGATATTAACCCCTAGTCAGAAGGTTTATGGGTTAATAACCTTTTCCATTCTGAAGGCTGTCTTTGTATCTTGGTAACTATTTCTTTTGAGGTGCAGAAGCTTCTTAGTTTAATGTTTCATTTCATTTTTCATTTCATCATCCTGTTATTCGTCGATTGCCTCGAGCAGGCCCCAGTAACGTCTCTTTCATCCTAGCCCTGATATTATATTCAAGGCTCTTTAGGGGAAAGAGACCCATCATTGTTACTGGTATTTGGCATATTTGGTACGCCACGGGGGGTTTGCCAGACTCTGCCCTGTGGGCAGGCTACATTCGATAGCCTGCAAGTTTGTCCAAATTTGGAATGAGACAATAAGAAGTCATTAAAAAAAGTTGCGGCCGCGCGGTTCCGGGATCTGGATTTTATAGTCTCTGAGTCTTGGCCGCTGATGGGATTACACGGCGCCAGGGGGCCAGGTGGTGGGTGTGACCCCCGCCTACTGGAATTTGGAGGATCTGGGTGGAAGATGCTCGACTCCGATCCGAGTAGGCTTGGAGGTCTCGGCCCCGGAACCCGCGTGGCTTTGTCCCTCTGCCAGTACCTTCATGTATGCGGAGAGTGGTCTCAGCATGGTGGTGGCTGGTCCTGGAGGTCTTCGGCTGCTGGAGCCCTGGTCGGGGTGGAGAGGAAAGCTCAACCCGCTCCCCTCCAAGGGGCCCCGGGAAGGAACACCCAGGCGCGGGGCAGAAGACTGCACTGTTCTCGTCTGGGATCTGGATTTTATAGTCTCTGAGTCTTGGCCAAGACGGTTCCGGGGCCGAGACCTCCAAGCCTACTCGGATTGGAGTCGAGCATCTTCCACCCAGATCCTCCAAATTCCAGTAGGCGGGGGTCACACCCACCACCTGGTGCCGTGTAATCCCATCAGCGGCCAAGACTCAGAGACTATAAAATCCAGATCCCGGACGAGAACAGTGCAGTCTTCTGCCCCCGCGCCTGGGTGTTCCTTCCCGGGGCCCCTTGGAGGGGAGCGGGTTGAGCTTTCCTCTCCGCCCCGACCAGGGCTCCAGCAGCCGAAGACCTCCAGGACCAGCCACCACCATGCTGAGACCACTCTCCGCATACATGAAGGTACTGGCAGAGGGACAAAGCCACGCGGGTTCCGGGGCCGAGACCTCCAAGCCTACTCGGATCGGAGTCGAGCATCTTCCACCCAGATCCTCCAAATTCCAGTAGGCGGGGGTCACACCCACCACCTGGCCCCCTGGTGCCGTGTAATCCCATCAGCGGCCAAGACTCAGAGACTATAGTTTAATGTAGTCCCGTTTATCTTTGCTTCCACTTGCTCGGTCAGTGGTGTTTCATCCTTAAAGATGCCTTTATCTTCAATATCATGGAGGGTTTTGCCTACCTTTTCTTCCATGTACTTTATGGATTCTGGTCTGATGCTGAGATCTGTAACCCATTTTGATCTGACTTTTTTGTATGGCATTAGATAGAGATTTGAGGTTTTTTTTTTTTTTGCATGTACTGTCCAGTTTTGCCAGATCACTTGCTAAAGAGGCTTTCTTTCCTTGGTCCATTTCATATTTCTTGCCCACTTATCAAAGATTAAATGATCATATATTTGAGGGTGTACATCAGGGTAATCAATGATATTTCATTGGCCTGTGGGTATGTTTTTTAGTTTGTTTGTTTTATTAGTGAAACACCATGAGGTACAGTTGTAGACTTACAAGTTGTTGTGCTTGGGTTTCAGTTATACAATGATCGAGTACCCATCCCACCACCAGTGCCCATTCCCCACCCCCATCGATCCCAGTATCCCTCCCACCCCCATCCCCCATCCCACCCTGGCTCTGTGGCAGGGCACTCCCTTTTGTTCTATCTCTCCCTTTGGGGCCATGGTCTGAAGAAGAGACATTGGATGGCAATCATGTTCGGTCCATAGATTACTTTCAGCAGGCATCTCCCATCCTGGGCAGATCTTGCCAGCACCCTTTATTTGGTACTCCCTTCTCTATCTGAGCTGCCTTTACCCATAGAGTGTGCAGCTGGCCTCTAAGCCATGGAGTAATCCTCCTGGTACTGATCTCGGCTATTCTTGGGTATTAAATCTCCTATTTTTTTACTTTATGTCCCCCAGATGAATGCAATCTTTTTATGTCTATCCCTCTCTTTCTGACTCATTTCGCTTAGCATGATACTTTCCATGTGGTACCACTTGTATGTAAATTTTATGACTTCATTTTTTCTAACTGCTATATAGTACTCCATTGTGTAGATGTACCAAAGTTTCTTTAATCGGTCATCTGTTCTTGGGCACTCAGGTTTTTTCCATATTCTAGCTATTGTAAAGACTGCTGCAATGAACAAACAAGTGCAGATGTCACTTCGACTATACTTTTTAGCCTCTCCGGGGTATATTCCCAGGAGTGGTATTGCTGGGTCAAATGGGAGCTTAATTTCTAATTTTTTGAGAGTCGTCTATACTATTTTCCAAAAGGGTTGAACCATTCAGCATTCCTACCAGCAGTGAAGGAGGGTCCCTTTCTCGCCCCATCCGTGCCAACACAGGTTGCTTTTGTTCTTTTGAATGTGGGCCAGTCTCTGCGGTGTGAAATGATATCTCATTGTTGTTTTGATCTGCATCTCTCTAAATGATTAGTGATGTAGAGCATTTTCTCATGTGCCTTTTAGCCATTCGGATTTCTTCTTTGAGAAAATCTCTGTTCGTTTCGTTGCCCCACTTTTTGATGGGGTTGGATGACTGTACAAATTCAACATGATCCCTATTAGGATACCCATGACATTCTTCAAAGAAATGGAGCAAACACTCCTGAAATTTATATGGAACAATAATCCCCCTAGAATAGCTAAAGCAGTTCTTGGGAAAAAGAAAATGGGAGGAATTAACCTCCCAAACCTCAAACTCTACTACAAACAGTAATAACTAAAACAGCATGGTACTGGAAAAAAAGGCAGAGCTGCAGACCTATGGAACAGGGTTGAATATACTGACATCTCCCCTCAAACATATGATCATCTAATCTTTGATAAAGGGGCAAGAAATGCGAAGTGGAGTAAGGAGAGCCTTTTTAACAAACGGTGCTGGCAAATCTGGATGACTACATGCAAAAATCTGGGCTTAGATCCCTGCCTAACACCATGTACAAAAGTAAGATCAAAATGAATTAAAGACCTCAACATCAGATCGGAATCCATAAGGTACATTG